CTATCTATCTATCTATCTATCTATCTATCTATCTATCTATCTATCTACTTATCTACCAATCTATCTACCTACCTACCTACCTACCTACCTATCCATACATTCATGCAAAAGGTCTGCCTGCCTATCTACCTACCTATCTATCTACAATCTATCTATCTACCTACCTACCTACCTGTCTCTCTCTGTCTGTCTCTCTCTATCTATATATCCATCCATCCATCCATCCATCCATCCATGTTCGAAGCACCAGCCCTGCAGGCACATTGGGAAAGTAGAGCAAAGCCAGTCTGGGAGGGAGGGAGGGAGAGAGAGAGAAAGCAAGAAAGAGAGAGAGAGAGAGAGAGAGAGAGAGAGAGAGAGAGAGACCTGATGCATCAGATTGAAATGAGGTCTAGTTTAAACTGAGGACCTTTTCCACATTGAAACATCTTTGCCAGCACATTGAAACATCTTTGGCTTCTATTAAAGGTTTTGTGGACAAAAAAAACATGGTCAAGACTATCAGGAAGCTCTCACATTTTGTTGAGGCTTTAAACAGGATCCATTGGACCAGATCTCTACCCTAAAAATTACTTTTCCCCAATGCATTAAAGTGCCAATTATGAAGAAGGCAAAACCAAAATTGGTAAATTACAAGGAGAACACACACACACACACACACGCACACACACACTTCCTTCTAACCCTGCTGGAGCAGGTGATTGGACTAGAATAGATATCTCATTATCTTTCTCCTCCTTCCTCCCTCCTTCTTTATTTCTTTTTCATTCTGTCCCTTCCTTCCATTCCCCCCCTCTTTCTTTGTCCCTTTTTCTTTCTTTTCCTTTTCTCTTTCTTTTCTTCCTTCTCTCTCTCTCTCTCTTCTCTCTCTCTCTTTCCCTCTCTCAGGTTCACCCCATTGACTTGACTTGCTTGGGCAGGTCCCTCCAGTGCAGTGGGCTCAATGGGGTGGACCTGCGGGTAGCCAGAGGTTGGTAATTTTTGCTGCCAAGAATCACAAAAGCTTCTGGGTTGTGCACAAGAAGGGACACACATGTCAATGCAATTCAGCAACATAAAATAAAGAAATACAAATAAAACAAATCAACAAGAATCGGCAAAGCATCTCTGATTAGATTTTATTCACTACTACGGTAGAATCTAATCAGAGATGCTTTGCCGATTCTAGTCCAATGAAAGGGAGTGTGTGTGTATGTGTGCGCATGGCTGTCAAAACTCCAAAAACAGGTCAAGTATCTCTGGGGAGGCCAGTCATAAATTAGAACACTTGCTAAACAATCGGCCATTAAGTGAGGACCATTTGTTTGCCAGTCACCTGGCCATGCCCACCCAGTCACATGCCCACCAAACCACACCTACCCGGTCATGTGACCAGCAAGCCACGCCCAGCCAGCAAGCCACGCCCAGCCAGCAAGCCACACCCAGCCAGTCACGTGACCAGCAACCCACGCCCACCCAGTCACATGACCAGCAACCCACGCCCACCCAGTCACATGACCAGCAACCCACGCCCACCCAGTCACATGACCAGCAAGCCACACTCTCAAATTAGGCCACGCCCACAGAAATTTGAATCCCACCCCTGGGTGGGGGGCATCGAGGATGAGTTTGTAGCACCAAGGGGGCGGTGGACTGAAAAAGTTTGGGAACCACTGCTCTAAAGGGACCAAGCAGAGGAGAATCAGGAATGACTTTCACCTTGGAAAAAGTTAATTTCAGTGGCAGATTCTAGATAATCTGCCTATTCTTGTTCCTCTCCCTTGCTGTCCTTTTAGAGATTCTAGCAGAATCATTTTCTTCCACTTCATACCTTTTTCATGCCAATGTCTCTTGACTTGGTCCTGAGCTTATTAACCTGAGATTCAGCAATCTCAGCTCGTTCTTCGGCATCATCCAGTTCATGCTGCTGTTTCCTATATTTTGTAAGGTATTGATTAGCTTGAGCTTCCTGTTGGAGAAAAATATATAAGGATGTAACAATATTTGACTTTGACAATCAAGAAGCAAAGGTCCTTTGAAACTTACAGGCAAGACAAATCAGGTTTATACATAGCAAACTGCCTTTCAGATATATTGAACTGAAAGTTCTATCACATCCACTGGCCAGGGGTTTATGGGAATTGTAATTCTACACCCTTAAAAGGCACTAAGCTTGGAAAGGTTGCTGTACTTCATTGTTAAATATTTAATGATATTATGATAGAAAGCAGTTTTCTTTATACCAATCTATGAAGTTACTGAGGAGGGACTTTAGGATGTCAGGAATATTGATTTCAAGCCTTCAATTGGAGAAGAGATGGCCTAGCAAAACTCAACAATTTTTACAGACAGGAAAAAATAACAAATGTTCTAAACGTACAGGATTTTCAACATTTGTTGTAATGAGTCTGTCCAGGATAATTTAAGAATAACAGACAGGTACAATGAATTACGTTTCATAATTGGTTTGTTTGGTTTTGACTTGGCATAAAGGATAAATCTAACCATTGTGGTTTATAAAAAAAGGTAATAATATATAAAGTGGATTTGCGACTCAGCAAAAATAACAACCAGATTTTAAGGAAGAAACATAATTTAACCTGATTGCATTGCTGTAAGAAGACTGATTTATCTTTGAGAAAATCTTGTGTGTAAGTTGGTATGCAACCACTTCATGCCCCACGGGATTGCAGCTTTCAGTAAACACACAGATTGCTTTGTTTCTGTTCTGCAGGGTAATAAGCAAGATCTATCACTCTCTACTGAGGCAGAAACAGAAAATAGAGTGAATTCTTCTACTTATCATGCTAAGATAAATGATTCCATCCCATAATGTATCATACATTTTCAATTCTGAAGGATGAAATTGTATTTATATACAATGGTACACATTCCAAGTTTACTTTCCTGTATTTCTGATGTTCTTGTACTTCTTTAGCCAAAATGTGCCCATTGACACAAAAGAAGGCAATATAAGACAATCTAGGAAAGCTCCAGGATTTTTGGAAATAACATAAAAAAAGAAAAATGCAATATAATAAAATTTAGTGGAAAAACTAAAAACTAAATGTACAATAATGATTACTATACTACTTACAGCTTCTTCAGCTTGGTGCTTGTAGCTTTTTACTTTCAGTTGCAATTTATCAATTAACTCTTGCATTCTTGTCAAATTCTTTTTGTCTTCTTCTGCCTTTTAATAAATAAAGTATTAACATCAGCAACCATGAGCTATGCACAAACGCTAGCCTGACAGGTAAAGCAGTTTGCTTCACTGGAAGTCTAAATGTTGTTTCTTAAGATACTTTATTAAATTTCATCTTGTCATTCCTCCAGGTAGCTCAGGATGATCTACATCAGACTGCTGCATTTTATCTCATATCAACAAATGAAAGTAAAGGAAAGAATAGGTGAAGAATCACAATTTCTATCACAGCTGGAATATAAAAAATGGTAGCCTTTCTTTCCAAGAAGCAATAAAATACAAACATGTAGTATGTATTTAAATTAACCAAAATATCACCACTGTTCACATGAGAAGAAACTAATGGATTAATCATACACTCTTGCACATTTTAATTATACGTTGTTGTTTTTTAAAAAATGAAGGACACAAATACAATTTCATCATCTGCTATAACTGAAGATGATATTATCACTTATACTGTCTGTTGGGACAATAACTATAGGCCATATCAGTTAACTGTACTTTTAATTGTACTTTTTTCAGGACTACTTTCCAACCTAGAGTTGGCTTTTTTAAAGGAATTATTAAGTTTAATACCATTTTAGGGAAAAAGCTTCACACTTAATATAGAAAGAAGTATGTCATCTTCCAACAGAGGAAACATGGGCCCCTAATGTTTACTCTATCTTCTAACTGATACTATTAATTATTTCTGTTTTTCATTCTTGAAAGTTAACAAATGTTACACTAAATTATTTAACAACGATTAATAACATAAATGTATGTTATAATAATATGTTAACTTAGTACTAATAAATAAAATTGTGATAAAGAAGTTATTTGTCCTTGAATAATATAGTTATAATTATAATAATAATCCTCAAGAACAAATAGTTCTTGTACCAAATATTCTATTCTTTACTTCCAAACTTTCACACTGACATTTCTGCGTTCCATTCTAATCAGGGAGTATTCAGGATTTTAGAAGGAAATATTTTTATCAAAAGTAGAACCTTTTCTTTTTTCTCTCTTCAACACCTCGGCCTCTATTCTCCATAATCCAAAGCTATTTTTGGCTATATATAGTAGATATAGGACAGAATTGCAGGCATGCTTTAAGTTGTTTTTTGCAGCCAATATTTGGTCAGAATTTCTTAAGAAATGTTGCTTTATATACATGAGTGTATTAAAAAAATGTGTTATTTTACCACAATATTTTAAGATAACTAGAATTACCTGGTAAGTCAACTCCTTGATGCGCCTCTCATATTTGCGGACTCCTTTCTGAGACTCAGTATTTCGACGAATTTCTGCCTCTAACTCATTTTCTAGCTCACGAATCTGTACCAATACAGAAATATTGTTAGATTGGGTTTACCATAACACTTGAGCTCAAGATGAACAAATACATAGATTGTAGATGTAACTCACTCTCCTGATTACTGATAATCTTCCAATTAGTCTATTATGTCATTAGAGAGGATACATTTTTTGCTATTTTAAAAGGTTTGTGGAAAGTTTTTAGAATGGGAAGAATGACAGTTCATCTGTCAGAAAACCGATGTTCCCTTTTCTATTCTTAGTTGTACATTTTTACCCAAGTACTGTATTGCTAAAATTCAGCTATATTGTTTCATAGTCTGGTGGTATGGTTTCAGTTTATTTTCTGATAGATGAAAGCTCCCATTGTCATATTTTATTTATTAGCTGCCCATTGGAGTCTGAGCAGTGTACAAAACTGAAAAATCCATAAAAACAGGTATAATATCAAACCAAACTAACAGCCCAGGCTGCAGCAATGTTATAAACAATTCAAATCAAACAAAATAGGGACCCTAGTCAAACAATAATATATCTAAGCCCAAGACCTTATTGGGCTTTTCAGAGATTTTCATAACCTTAGCAGAAGGAACACAGTCCTTTTCTCTGGCGGGATACTGTTCCAGAAGGTGGGGCTGCATTAGAGAAGTCATTTTTTTCCTTAGTCCCACAAAGATGACAGTGTTTATTAGAAGGGACCTGCAGTGTATTCATTTTGCTCGGACATATCAGTCAGGGAAAAATTATTGGAGAGAAATAGTTCTTCAGATATCCAGTCCCTTTTTTATCAAAAGATTATAATGAAATTCAATTACTTTCTTCTGAATTTTGTCCCTACAAATGGGGTGAGAAGCACAGGGCCTAAGCTATATGTTGTGGTTTGTAAACCATATTTTAGAGTAAAATATGTGAAGCCAATGGGCTATGCGTCATTGAGTTTGTAATTCAGGAAATTAACTATATATAGTCCATGAGATTATGGATCTGTGCAACCCTGTAATTTGCAAAAATGTTGGCATAAGGCAGTTATATAGTTTAATTATAGGAGGCAAGAAACAGGATCCTTGAAAATGATATCAAATAGAAGATTAAGTTGAGGAAGAGATACACCAGTTTTTCCCTGAATTAAAATAGCAGAGAATCCATACCTAGCCCACTCAATGTAGAGGCTGGAAGGAAGGAGATTGCATAGCAGACTTGAGTTCAAGATAGGCAAAAAGAAAACGAGCTAAAGATCTGACCCATCAAAACATGGGACATTGGCAAAGATAATTTAAAGGGAATATATAGTACAATAAAATCAGGCAGTACAATACAGAAGCCTGATAATGGCAGATGAGATTCTGCTGAAACGTTGCTACAACTTTAAAAGCACAACTACAATGATGTGAGAAAATACCCGAACAAAGCTGAACAACATACATGTAAGTACCCACGAAAACTTAAGAAAACAAATATATATATATATGTATGTGTGTATATGTATATATAACTACAATGACGTGGGAAAATACTTGAACAAAGCTGAATGCCATATATATATATATAGGCACCAAGGCTGATAGATAGACATTCCACAGAAGCTACTTGAAAGACTTTTCTGGAAAATCAGTTCTTGGCATTCAGGATTGGTTCTAATGTTATCACAAGGCCTATTTCGGCTTTAAAAATTAACTAAAAGGATGGGTAAATATAATAATAATTGATTTATATTATTTTCTATCATTTTAAAGATATACTTTAAATCAAAGTATACTAAATAACAACATTAACTCAGCCAGAACTATGCTCCAAGTACACATTTTTGAAGTAGGCAACTACCACTTGATTTGAATTCAAAGAAAAATACCCTCGATTCCAGCTTCTGAATCTGCTTCTTGCCCCCTTTGAGGGCAATTTGTTCTGCTTCATCAAGTCTCTTCTGTAAATCTTTGATAGTCTGTTCCATATTCTTTTTCATGCGCTCCAAGTGAGCACTGGTGTCCTGCTCTTTCTTAAGTTCTTCAGCCATCATTGCTGCCTGAAATAACATAAAGATATGAAATGGTTATCTTCTACAACACTAAAATGCTTATTTTCAGTTTTATGATTTAATGAACATAGGAATTTAAAGTTCTAGATAAATCTCCACAACTAATTATAGATAATACTGTTCTAAATAAGTACTATAACAAAGCAATTATTTAGGCTGGAATGAAAAAAATAGGATGTCTACTTACATCAGTGATTGCTTTTTTAGCCTTTTCTTCAGCATTCCTGCATTCTTGTATAGCTTCTTCCACCTCAGTTTGTATTTGAGTAACATCAGTCTCCAGCTTCTTCTTCTGGTTGATTAGGCTTGTATTCTTTTATTTCAAAAGGAAAAGGAATGTTCATTAGGATGACAGGATCTTTTGTAGCACTGGGACCAGTGCCAATAAGATAAAGTATAATAGTAGCCTTATTCATATTCCTGGTAGAATAACTCATATTATTTCCAAGAGACATACTAGTGAAAAATAAATCAGGTCAATTTCTGATTCAAAGTAGAATCTTCCACATCAGATCCTTCTTGATAACTAGAATCTGAGAGAGAAGTCAACCATGAATTAAAAATGATATGTGTGTTAATATAAATTGGATGAGGAATTCTGAGTATTTGCCAGACAAAAACAACAAAGAATCTTGGAGTTGTTTATGAGATGCATCTATGGACGCATAGCCCATTAAACAATAGCCCATTAAACAATAACACAACATATTTGCTACATTTGTTGAGGCCTCAAGTTTTTCTATACTTCTGCAACCTGAAAGAAATCTCTCATCTCTCAATAAAATGGGTTCTATGTTTATGCAAGCAAAAAAAAATCCTCTAGAAAACATGATATTATAAGGCTTCTTTCATGTAACTAGTTTGCAAAAAGATCACCAATATTGGCTGATAGGCTGATCTATAACTTAGAAAACAGCAGGAAGCAAGAAACAAGTAATCTACCCAAGATGATACTCTTGGAAGTCCCCTTATTTCCACAAGAAAGAGCTATGACATGGACTTTCATGGAAATAGTGGGCTTTAAAAGAACTTAAATAAGTTACATAATTCTTGTACTGAAATTATCTGGATATTCTCCAAAGCTCTTGCAGCATAGAAGAGCCTTAAAATTTGGATGGAAATTTGGATGGAAAAATGTCTAACAGAAAACAGAAATGGATGGGTAAATATTCCCTTAAGCACAAGGGTTTTTAAAGAAATGATTGGTCACATAAATGTACAAAGGCAATTTTCTTTGACCTAGAGGCCAAAAGATAAAATTTTAAATATTGGTCAGTTTGTAATATATACTTTATTCCTTTTTTCTATTCACACAGAAAGAAACCCTGGTGGATAAATTTATTATTTCCTATATGTTGCTCTACAACAAGGAACCACAAAGATATTTCTTTATGGGAAATGTTGGATTTATTATCCACCAGGAGACAGAGAAAATAATACAGGCAAGCTAACCTGGGTGTGTAGAAGGTTGACACGTTCAGTGGCTTCTAATAATTCTTGTTCTGCCAATTTACGACTACGTTCTGTCTGGTCCAGCACAGCCCTCAGCTCATCCAGCTCAGATTGGAGAAGAGTATTACGTCGATCAGTGACTGCCAATTGCTCTTTGAAATCCTCATTAAGATGTGTTGAATCATCAAGCTGCATTTGCAATTCCTGAAAGAAGATGAAATCTCACATATATCTGTCTATCTGTCTCCTGCTACAGTCATGGAATTCCTGATGTCTTTATTCACACCTAGGCTTAACTGTGTTTTGTTTTTACTGAAACCAGCAAATATTATGTAAATACGTTTCATCTTATTATCTTGGAGCAGCTATAAGATCAGTAGGCAGGCAACTTGAGCTACATAATTGTCATAAAGAGAACCAAGACCAATTTCAAATTGTGTGTATGTTTTTTTTAAACTATTGGTTGCTTCCATGTCTGCTTCTTTAGAAGTACAATTCTCCAAACATTTTGATTTTTCTTAGGGTTTTCTTCTCACGGGTGAGCAGAACATGCCATCTTTTCTCCACTTACTTAATAAATAAACAAGCTTATGTGTTTTATACCTTGGTAGGCACATCTCTGATTAAAAATATAAAAAAAAAATACAGAGAGATGAAATTAAAGGACTACTGTACCACTTTTAAATGTGTTGATGCCCCACTTCCATCTAGTTTTCTATCTTTTTCTCTTCAGAGTAAAATAAATATGTTTTTAACAAATGCATGAAAAAGTCTGATTTACTTCAAAACAAGCTAAAGAGATCTGAATTTTCTTATTTAGCTAAATAACTTTGAAATTCTGGCACATATGTACATACATACAAAGATAACTGCATGCTTATGTAATTCCTATCCTTGTGATTAATATGACCACTATATCTAAGGGAGTAGAAACAGGAAAAAATAAAATGGAGGAAAAGGATGCGAACTACATCCTGTTATAAATTGCATACTAATGTGAATATGATACAATGACTTGAAATAGCATTAATTGTGTGAGAAGGATAGAGCTTCTTAAGATTATTCAAGCTGCACACTCACCAGGGAAAAATATTGATAGATACCATGGCAAATGTACAGTCTCTAAACTCTGTTTGCCATTGTAGTGTAAAATGCAATTTATGAAATATGTGGAAAAGACCAAGTAGTCTGGCTGATGACATTTTTTATTTTTCCACACCCAACAATTTTCTCATATTAAGTTATTTTATCCAGGTGGACTTATCGTCTTATTTTAGAATTAGATAGGGAAAAAATCTTGTATCTGACCCTGGGTTGGCAATTCAAAATTTTCCTTACAACACCAAATTTGAAACTTAGCACTATATGGTATCTGCATCTATTGGAGTTTTGCTGCTGTTGTTATGATATACAGATTTCATTAACAATTTATGGAATACCTTTATTTGAGTCTGAAGGATGCGTGTGGCCTTAGTTGCTTCGGAAGCATGCCGGTTAGCATGACTCAACTGGATTTCCATTTCATTGAGATCACCTTCCATCTTCTTCTTCAGCCGGACAGCCTCATTTCTGCTTTTAGCTTCAGAATCCAAGGTAGCCTGAAGTGTGTCTATTGTACGCTGCTGGTTTCTCCTATTTTTGAAATATTTTTTAATATACACACCTTTCATCCCAAGTCATCTTCAAACATTGTTTTACTATCAGGAAGGCTGTTATATTTTTGTCTATCAGACAAAAGACAGTCTGCCTCAATTTTTAATTCTTAAAAAGTGATTCCAGTTTTTTCTTGTTTATTTCCTTTTGTTTATTAATATATCTTTTGTCAACATATTGTGCAGACAGTAATTATCAATCAGTCTTAACAACATTCTTGCAAATTAAGACAGCATGTGCAGATGGTTCAACAGATTCATAAGCAGAAGTAAATTGCCCTCTTCTGCATAATGTGTTACTGGCAGAACAACTATGAAAAAAAATCTTGTGATGGTTAAGAAATATAGATCACTTGTATCTATAGTAGTTCTTATTGATAAATTTCATTGGATCTCTTTTATGTTTCTTTTTCCCCAAAACCAAGACCCATTGATTGCTATAGAGTCTACTTCTTAGTAACCTTGTTTAGAATTGTGAGCTACTTAGAATTGAATAGAAAATTAATACCATTCTATGTTTGGCAATAATAGTAGATGTACAATATAAATGTAATTATAACTGCTGTGAAGAATACCAGAAACTACTTCTTTATACATAAACATATCCTTTCTGTGTATCTTTCTTTATATCTTTCTGTTTTTTCTACCTTTTTCTATTTTTTATTGATTGCACTTTTAGCAGAATTTCTGTTCTTTCTTTGTTTTCTCTAATTATTTTATTATTCCTAAACATAAATGCATGTGTGTAATAATTAGTTAAAAAAGAACTGTGAAGAAAGAAATATTTTCAGAGGGTTTTGACTGTGTAGCTCTTAAATATTGGGCTTGAATCTTTATGAGTTCATTTATAATTGTATTGCGAAATTGCAGCAGTTAGTCTTTTACAGACAGTCTAGCCAATTTAACAATAAATGTCAAGAAGAGAAAACCCAGTTCTCTCAAGAACGTTCTCTCTAGGAAAACGTAAATAAGATATTGTATTCAGATAGAAATCTGTTCAGTGTTCTTTTTCTCTCTTTAAAAATACTAACCAGAATTTACATATTGGGACACACAAACAAAAAAGAAATTTACAATTATTTGAATGAATAAACACATCTGACAGATTCACGCATCCTGCAGACTAATTTTTAGATTCTATTGCACTAGCACTACTAGATCTGGATGGTAAAAATCCAGATAACTACTACCTAGAAACAAAGTATTGGAACTGCCTTTATGTCTGCTATTTACTTGTTGAATACAATTTTGCAGCCTGGATCCAGCCCTAGTTAAAATTAATAGGGGCAGTTGGTCATCTTAAGTTATAGTAATCTCTTTTTCAACAGGAAACTACTCCAAATAACCTCCCATATTGGGGTATGTCAAATGACACCACCTGCTAATAACACATATATGCAAAAATATCAGCAATTAAGTGATATTGGACTCTAGGAAAGTTAGAACACTGAGAAATCTTACGTAGAAGCCAAAACACATTGAGTCATATTATGAAAGTCATCCTGATACAGACATTTGCACCTGCCACAGCCAACATCAAAATCAGCTTGCAGAAAGATGGTGGTAGGAGTGTCCAAACTGCCCATATGTTGAGCACTTTCAATAATGAACTCCTAAACAGTACTAAGAGACACGTTTTAAGCCGAAATTCCATATATAGTTTACAGTTAGTATCAATCCAGTTTTGGTTTTGGTATGACAGGTTGTGGAAAAGTTTATCATACTGTACCTGAAGTTTTCCATTTCCTCCTCTCTTTCTGCCAATTTTCGTTCAAAGTCTGCTTTAATTTGGGAAAGTTCCAGTTGAAAGCGTAATGTTTTGCTTTCTTCATGTTCCAGAGCTCCCTAATAAACATGTACAATATAAATTGAAGTTAACTGTCTTAAAAAAGAAAAGAAAAAATCACCACACCATATGCTATGGTAGCTGAAAGGCACAATCCAATATTCTGTTCAGTTGCAGAGCAATCATTATGATAATATCAAAAAGCACAGACTAATTATTTATAACTACTGGTATTCTTTATCAGCATTAGTACCACTTTGCAACATTTTTACATGCAAGGGTAGGAGCAGGTAATCTTGCCATCACTGATCCTACCTGATATATTTGGTTGTTTACACTACACATGCCTTAGAGTCTGTTGAGTTCATGTGACTATACAGACTAGTTCTTGCAATTTTATATGTTTTCAAAAGTAGTTTGTCACTGTCTTCTTTCAAGAGCTGAGAAAAAGTGACTGGGCCAATATCATGCAGCTGATTACTTGCCTAAGGCAGGACTGGTACTCAGATTTTATTTTATTTTTTGACTCCCTATCTTAATCATTAGATCAAACTACCATCAAAGAGAATGAAATGTCTATTGGACAATTCACCTTGAGTATCATAAAAAGGGAGCAATCTGTTAATGATTTGGTTTACTACTGTTTTATTCTTACTGCCAGAATGACAAGAGGTACATACAATTTATTCTAATTTAACAGCTTTTGAATTACCCTACAACTTGACTTGATATCAGGATGAAACAGATATTATCTGATATCCCTTCTGGTGCAAAATGTATTTTGGCTTAGCAGTACATGTTGTGTAAAACACCATTTGTTCTGTCTAGAATAGATTAAGCCTCCACTTCTAATGTAATAGCTATGGCAGGAACAAGCAGGTATGTAGTAGGGCTGAAGGTTAATTCCTTCCGGACTATCAAAGCTTCTTATAATAGCACTAAAAACCTGGGCATTTTTATGTGAACTTGATAGCATTGTTTTCCATTTCTTTTTAATTTGCATAAGCAAGTTTATTTATCTTTTCATTTATTTGCTCATTTATGTTTGTTGCAGATATGAAAATAGAGGTTTTTATGACTGGCTTTAAGATCTAGCATGAATAAACTGCATGGTAATGTACTATGGAAAAATATGTGCTGAGGAATGATAGGAAAAAGGGATATGGAACAGGATGAGCTTTCATGGATCAAAAACCAGCCAACTCATCAATACAATTAAGAATTTTTAAGAATATTTAAATTTTATGGCCAAGATTCCAAATAAAGGCTAAAGATTTAAGAGAAAACTAGAATATAAAATCCCGCAGTAATAATTCCTTGATTTTCATTGCATTTGTTTTTTTCTGATTTAGTTGTATATTGCATTTTTAAACTAATTTTTAAAATAAAGCATTGTGCAGCAGAAGGATCAGTATAATTCATTTAGTTCCCTCTTAACTATCATGTGGATTGAACATTTGTTTTTCTATATAGTGTTATGCCATCTGACTGAGATTCTTTAAAATGAAGCAAATTCAATCTGTGGATATATATATGCTTATCAGATGTTGTTATTCTAGTACAACTCTGACAATGAGTTGTAAGCAACAGTATTGCTAATGAAGGCACACACGTTTATCTGATTTTAGTCATCTGTCAAATGGAATCATTTTAAGAAACGTTTTTTGTTCATGTTTATGATTTCTTAGGTGCTCATACCCATAAAATCCAGTCTTCATTCTCTCACACACATTCATATTCATAAAAACATTTGTAACGCATAGCAACACTTTATTGTGGGGCCTCATTTGTTAAATTTACAAGTTAATGACTGCAATATTCAGGAACAAAAACAATGTAGGAATGAATATATTGATTCCTACGTTGGAAGTAAGAATCTGTATTAAGTAAGCTCTAGTTAGATTGGAAGTAAGAATCTGTATTTATGAAATGTATAATGCTGTTTAGTCTGAAAAGGAATAGCTTCATGTATGAATATGCATCAAGTGGTTGAACCTTCACCATGTAGTACAAAAGCCAAAGGGCAACAAAATTTTGAGAAAGTTTTTCTTCACCTTCTGTTGGTGAGGGACCACAATGAACAGTTTGGGAAAAGCAGACTGTACTGGACAGGGCACTGGATTAAAAAAACAACAACTCACTAGCTTAAGCCTATTTCAGTGCTCACTACAGTTTCTGGATATCTACTGAAGATTTTCACAAATGGCCACCAAAAAGACACTCTGAGAGCATACATGGCCCTGGCTTCTTTGCACTGGATTACTGCAAAATGCATTGCTTAGAAAATAGAAACAAAAATAAAAATCTTCCTTGTAGTTTTGTGGAACAGACTGTTTTATCAAGGTAAAATATATTCAATGGACATATGGCACTCAGGTAGATTCTATTCTATCGTGCTGTATATGTTGTATATCAAAGTCTCTGTGTGTGTGTGTGTGTGTGTGTGTGTGTGTGTGTGTGTGTGTGTATACACACACACATACATATACTGTACATACAGTATGTATATACGTACATAAATATATGTATACATGCATATACATATACATATACGCTTGCTTCAAAACTGTGGAACCAAGCATGCTGTTCCTCTGCTGTAATAACAAAAACCTTTTTATTTGATGGGGAAATCCCTGCAAAACATAAGATAGCCTGCATTTTTTTTTAAAAAAAAGAAAGACAGATTAATAAAATGATACATGTGGCTGATTCAAAGCTTATTTTCAGTATGAGTGCATTACCAAAACTATTAGATAAATAGATGGTGTATGTCCCTTTTAACATAAATAAATAATTTTTAAATTTTTAATTTATGACAGTGCTATAGAATATATTCATTTAGCTTGTTATGTAAACAGATGATTATCAGATACACTAAATTATACTTAAGAGAGCACAGAAGAACATAGATATCAAAAGATGAAATCAACCTGATGATTACCATTTCACAAAAACACAGAAAAACATGTCTTGGCTGGAAATTTCCCACCATTTGATGGTAGAAAACACCTGGATATTTGTAGCCAAGGCAAGTGAATGAGATTTTTAAATAGAACAACTTTCCCCATACTTGTACATTTACAACAATATTGAATATCTTATTGGACAATTGAGTAATATGAGAATTTGGATTATAGCCAAAGAACAAAAAGGATTTTTTCTGAATCTATATAGCACTATAATTAAAAGGCTTTGTAGCCATTTTCACTTTTCCAGATTGTCCAAGAGGTTGTACAAAGTAAATAAGATTTCCAAAGTTATTTTCACTTTGGGATGAGGCATAAAACACTACTTTCAAGAGCAAGAAAGGACCCACAACTGTAAAAAAAAAGTTACTTTTGATCCAATGCTTCATATGCAAATTGACCAAACTCCAACCTTTGCTTTTAGACTATGTTTTGTTCACATGACACATAGAATTGCAAATTGGCCAATCATAATATAGTTTAGCATGTTGGGCAACCACAGGGTGAATGCTTAGTTTATAATTCAGTTTATTGTGCCTGGATCAATTAGATAAATCATGGCTAAATTAACCAGAGGTAAGCATGCATTTATGAATATGCCCTCAGAGCAAGTCAGAAATAGTAAATTGGCAAACTACCTAATGTGAAATATGTATTTGCATTTACATCCTTTTTAAATTGTAACTCTCTCTAGATATACAACTGGCAATTATTTGATTGTAGCAGTTGGAAGAGAAGATTAAGCCCTTTCTTCTCTTTATGAGGTCTTAAGAAAAGCACTTCCTCGGAAACTGGTATTAGCTACACTTCACTGGGGACACGGCAGGAATTTCCTGAATTCAAAGGCCAGGATATCCCTCAAGATTACAACAGAGGAGTAAAAGAGTCAGAGCGTCCCTCTGTCTGCCTTCTTTGATTTGGATAATTATCATCTCCTCCAGCTGATTCCATTTGCATGTTATATGCAAAGTCAGTTTAACATTATGCAAATTTTATCCTTAATTGTTTTACTAATTTACCTTTCCCAACAAATTATCTCTCATACAGAACAATTGTTTTCAGGTTCCCAGAGTTCTCTTAACTCTTTCAGGATTGAGTTTAAGACTTTATTCTCACAATATTAAGACTCCCAGATTTGGGAGGCAAATATCAGACAATTACTACTGGTAGCAAAGAATTCTGAATATTTGCAGCCCAAGTTAGGTATCCTTCACATTCTTTTTCCAAATCTTTACCTTACCTCAGCTTCTTCCAGGGCTAGCTGGACTTCTACTTTTTCTTGTTCAATCTGCTTCTTCATTTTCTCTAGTTCATGAAGGTTCTTGTTTCCTTCACTGATCTGATCAGTTAGATCTGAAATTTCCTCTGAAAGAATTATTAAAAACAATGATAAAGGAATAAGAATATGAAGGACCTCCCTTTCTTCTAAACCAATGTCTGTGCACATGTATGTGTACATGTTTGTGTGTGTGCCATCAAAGCTGAAAGATGTTGAATGTTTATTTTTTTAGCAAATTTTTAGGGATGTCCAATTCACACACAGTGACTCTGGGTAGCATACAGTAATGAATTAAATTGAACTGAAGCCCCATTCCTCCAAAATCCATTTCCTCCCATCTGCCCCTGTGGCTGAAAACAAATCAAATAAGCTACCGGTACTTGGCTTTGGATCAACTTAAGATCCTCAAGTTCACTGACAGAACTATGTCATCAGGATATTTTGAACAAGTAACAAGATGGGAACCAATTTTATCTCCAGGGGAATCATGTTCCACAGGGAAGGAGGAGAAGAAGGCCCTATTTTTGGTCCTGCCCAATGTATTTCCTTAACAAGTGGGTCACACAACATGCCCTGCCTTCTTACTCTAGTGGGCTGGGTAGATGTAATTGGAGAAAGGCACTCCTTCAACTAACTTGGTCCCAGGCCACATAGGGCACTAAAGGTGATAACCAGCACCTTGAATTGTACCCAGACGCAAATCAGCATCCAATAAAGTTCAGCTCTGCAAAAAAAGGTGAAACATGCTCAAATTTGGGCTTGCCCAAAACTACACAGGCCATTGAATTTTGAGCCAATTAAAGCTTTCAGATACCCTCCAATGGCAGCACCATGTGGAACACATATTATAATGCATCATTGGTTCCTACAAGGCAGAATAAAAAGGATCTCCAAGTTCTGTCAATTAAAACAACTTCCAGATAAACATGAGGTACTTGAATAGTCATGCCGTTATTTTTTATGATGATCTGCATGGATCAGACTGGTCATATTCCAAAAATAGGTTTGATAGAAACTGGACCAATAGGGGCAATTGGGAATCAGCAAGATTTCTATAAAATGTAACTCTCTTCGAGCTGAAAATAGTAGTTTTCAAAGTCAGACATAAAATCTTGCCATCTGCACTGCTGTAAAACTGATACTGACCGACACCATTGAGACTCTAGAAAGAATGCAGAGAAGAGCAACAAAGATGATTAGGGCACTGGAGACTAAAACATATGAAGAAGGGTTACTTGAATTGGGTATGTCTAATTTAACGAAAAGAAGGACTAGGAGAGATAAGATAGCAGTCTTCCAGTATTTGAGGAGCTGCCCCAAAAGAGGAGTGGGGTCAACCTGTTCTCCAAAGCACTTGAGGGCAGGACAAGAAGTAATGGGTGGAAACTAATCAAAGAGAGAAGCAACCTAGAAATAAGGAGAAATTTCCTGACAGAACAATTAATCAGTGAAACAATTCGTCTCCAGAAGTTGTGAAGTTGAAAATATTTAAGAAGAGATTGGACAACCCTTTGTGTGAAATGATATAGGATTCCCTGCCTGAGCAGGGGTTAGACTAGATAGACCTCCAAGATCTCTTCCAATTCTATTATTCTGTTATTTCACATGTATTACTACACTGTAAATTCTACAGATAATATATTCTTCCCCTAATATATAGGTTTCCAGGAAGACCAGACAATTCCATGTGAACCATCTTCTAGAAGTTTTGAAACTATTTATCATCTATGAAGTAGCCAAATTCTGTATTGTTATCATAAAAGAGCATAACTGGTTACGGGAGGCGGGGGGGCGGGGAATCACTTCTGTTTTATCACTTTCAATTAACACGTACCAACTATTTTGTTTTTAGATTATATATATATATTACTTCACAGTCTGTAACGTTTTAGATTTACACTTGTACAAGTAATTAATGCATCATAGCAGTTTATGTCACATTTTATTAATCATTTTATATATAGTATGCTGATAGTTTGTCTCATCTATTCAGTTTTACTTTGGTGTTGTGTTTTTTTAAAATTTTGGCTGATCATTGATCAAATAAATTATTACTATTATTATATACACAAAAATATGAAATCACAGATCCTGGTTCTTTAGCTGGTGTTGGACTTCATATACATTGAATTCTCCCCAAGAACCTAAGGTGTCATAATATATTGGCATAGTATAGTAGCAGATCCAAGCAGTGTGGCTTTTTGTAATTGACAGATGGAAAATTTGCCAATGTACATATATTTTCTAAGTGTCATCCAAGATTTATTATTATTCTGTTATTTTTTATGAAAAGAAAGTCCTATATTATCATTAGAATACATGCTATAAAGAAATCCTGATCATACAATAATAGTATGCTACTATTATGAAGAATATTCATTACAAACTGACGTAGGTCAGAAGCATGACAACAATGCTATGTCTCGTCTTCATATGTTTGTTCCATCTATCTACAAACAAAATTTTTATGCCTGTAAACTTTAATTGGGTAAAACGGTGCATCACAGAGCACCAATTTTTGAAGTAATTACCTCAAATGGGCTAAGTTATAGAATGGGCCCAAAATCCAGGATCCATGACTCCCATGAGGAAATTTGTGGTTGTTTAAATATTGCTGTCATCCAGAGGTTCAGTAGAATAGTCCTAACTTTCCAGAAGCCAGGAAGACCTGCCCCCTCATGGTTGCCAGAGGCTGACCAGCCATGGTCAAGCTGGTAGGAAGTTGGAAGTCACTCCTGCTCTTGCTGCTTTTTTTTTGCCCTGTTCATTCTATTTCTCTTTAGGTAAGGAAATATCTATGAAATGTTGGTACACAGATTGTGTGGTTCACATATAAAGAGACACGTGGTATTATCTAACACTGGGTCATTACAGTGAAAATAATTGTATCTTCTGTGCCATGCTTTTCTAGGCTTTGGTATCCAGATCCACTATGGGTGGACACTGTGTTCCTTTGTTCTGATAAATCAGTATCTTCTACTCATAGTTTTATATTAGATATCTGTCTATTCTACCATTCCAGGAACTTAATGTGTTTGACAAATTCCATGGTAATTAAGACTTTTTAAGGATACTCAACTGATGTTATGAAAATTAATGTTTCTGATATGAAAGTTCTTTTTGGTACTTGAGAGGTGAAGTTCTAGACAAATAAGTCCAGATCACACCTGGAACATTATGACACCAGACTTTTATTTACTCTCCTTTTAGGTAGGCAAATTGCTCTGTATCTTGGTGGGTTAAGGCTTCAAGCTCCTTATATAAATTATTCATGACTTCCCTGCAGTATCCTTGGTAATGAATGACCTACCTTGGAGATTCTTGTTTTCTCTTTTTAAGGTCTCTGCATTGTCTAGGCTCTCTTCATATGCATTTTTCAGTTTAAATAATTCTGTACTGAGGCTCCTAGATTCCTTCTGGGCACTCTCAAGTTCGGCTTGGGATTCTTCATACTTCTGTTTCCATTCTGCAATAATCCTGTCAAAATTGCGCTGCTTCTTGTCCAGAACTCCTGCAGCTGAGTTGGCCTTCTCTAAGTCAATCATTATGTCCTCCAATTCATTCTGCAGTCGGTGTTTTGTCTTTTCCAGAGATGAGCATTTGGCATTGGCAGCTTCAACAGCTTCCTCTGCCTCCTGGAGACGAGCTGCCAATTTTTTCCTGATATCAGATATTCATAATAAATTAACCCATCCAAAAATCTTCTGACTTTTACAAAAATCAAATAATCTAATTTCAATGAATACTACTGAACTTTCTTGGTTACATATTGGCAAAAAATTGTTTCCAATACCCTGAGGTATAGAGCATTTTTGCACCCCTGGCCAGCACAGAATTTAGGGACTTCTGAGACCAGTCAATCTCAGGAATCAGTTCTGATCTGTTCCAAAGTTTTTTCTGGCAACTCATTCTATATAATATTTACATAAAATTCCTTTGAGTTTTCTGCTATAGTTTCACCACTAGTTCTACTTTTCTTTTCCACATATTCATACCAGTTTATAAAAAGAATATGCAGGTAGTCCTTGACTTACAACAGTTTCTTTAATGACTATTCGAAGTTACAACGGCATTGAAAAAAGAGATATGACCATTTTTCACACTTCACCATTGAAGCATCCCCATGGTCACATGTTTTACATTCGGATGTTTGACAACTGGTTCATATTTATGATGGTTGCAGTGTCCCAAGGACCTTTTGTGACCTTCTAACAAGCAAAGTCAATGGAGAAATCAGATTCATTTTAGAAATGTTAACTAATTTAACAACTGCAGTGAATCACTTAACAAATATGGCAAGAAAAGTTGTAAAATGAGGCAAAACTCACTTAACAAATATCTGACTTAGCAACATAAACTCTGGGCTTGTGTTGTTGTAAGCCAAAGACTACCTATAGTGAAAAGTTAAGCAGTAACTATGATGTCTCTTACTTAGCTTCTTCAAGTTCTTCTGTTCTTTGGATTGCATCTGTTTCATATTTAGTTCTCCATTGTGCTACTTCTGAATTCCCTTTAGAAAGTGCCCTCTGCAATTCAGCCTTAGCTTCTTGTTCCTCCTCAAACTGCTCACGCAAGAGGTCACAGTCATGGCGAGAAGCCTGCAGAGCATGGGCCAAAGCATTCTTGGACTGCAGGATAAGGAAACTGGAATTAGCACATTTTGTAACAGAAAAAGGAGCTACAATTGGAGTTGTAGCTAGCAAGTTCCTGTGATTGATTCCCAATTTTGGGTTTTACCTTTTAGGTATGAAATTCTCATATATTACATTATATCACTCCATCCATAATAACTATCACAACCTTTATTCTGAATTTATAATCCCATTCTGTATTTTAAGTGCTTTGGTGGTGCAGTGATTAGAATGCAGCATTGCAGGCAAATTCTACCGACCGCTATTAGTTTGATTCTCACCAGCTCAAGGTTGATACAGCCTTCCACCCTTCTGAGGTGGGTAAAATGAGGACCCAGATTTTTGGGATGCCATATACTGACTTTGTAAACCATTTAGAGGAGGCTGTAAAATACTGTGAAGTGGTATATAAGTCTACTTGCTACTGCTATTGCTATTTACACAAAGCTTGACAGGTAATTATTTGATTTACACAAATAAAAATAATAATGAACCAATTTTCCTTGTCATGCAGATCAGTGTAGTTCTATTGCAGTGACATGAGACATGTGATTCTGTACCTATTCACAAACTACCTTAAAATTAGATATATTTTTGGGGCTATCTCAGAATCATGTCAGGATTCCTAACGAAAGCATTACCTTGGTCTCTTCCTCTAGCTGCCTTTTAAGTTCGTCTATTTGTTGAGTGAAAGACAATTTCCCTCGAGAAAGTTGGTTGATGAGTGATTCTTTTTCTTCCAGCAGCCTTGTAAATTCACCTGCCAGAGAGGTATCAAAAGCAATAATGAGCATATGCTTTTTATGACAGAAAGCAAAATGGAATATATTTTGTTACTCGAGGCAAATATTTTATCAGTTCAGATTATTCTAAAGTGAGATTGCCCTTCAGAGACAATGGGATGGTCTGAGATAGTAAATGGTACAAAACATTTGCAGGCTGGCTCACACTTTGCCAAAATTGAAGTTACGTGAGGAATCCGAGAAATTCTCTGGTCACAGAGAAAACAAAGGAGAAAAAAACAATGTGATGTTGGACTGAAAAGATGCATAAATGTGAAATTTCAGGTTAATGCATAATGCAGATATAGTAGCTCTGCTAGCCAAGATATTCAGTTTCATTACAAATGCATCTCCATTGACTTCTACCATGTATGAATACTTATCACTTAAAATATTGCAGAAAGATATTGAAAACAAAATAATTCTTGCATGCAGACACAGAAATAAAGGAGTGGAAGCCTGGTTTAGTATTTCTGCTCAATATCCTTATTTAAAAACCAAGACTTCCAGTTTGAGCTTCTTTGGCGACAGACCGAAACCTCGTCTCTGTGAGGCTTCGATCCGTGCTTGCCGCTGGAGCGCCCCGAACCGGCTGGTTTTGGGGCTAAGCCACCCTGTAGAGGTGGTGAAGAAGGGGGAGACTGCCTGCAGGGTTGAGGAGAGCCGCATCTCTCCTCCCCAGCTGGCCATTACTCCCTTTCCCGAAGGCGGTTAGAGCGGTGGTCAGAAATGGCCACCACAAAGTAGAACTCGACCGGAAAAGAATATGCAGGAGGAAGATAAGAAGAGAAAGTTTTGGTTAACTGGGTCAAACAGCAAAAGCAACAAATAAGATACCCTGGAATTGAAATTATTAAAAAAAAAAACAATAACATTGTTCCCTAAGAAGATTTTTAAGCTGTGAAGGAGAGAGAAAAGGGAAAAGATTTGGGTTTTTTTCTCCTTTTCCTATACTGGCAGCTAAGAGACTTAAGCAAGAAATTGGAAAAAATCCACTTTGACAGTAATAGGTATTTAATGCTGAAAATAAAAAATCAAAGGGATAATAAAGATTTCTGGATAATCAAAAGCTTTTGAAAACAGGAAAGTAGAAAAAAAGAATAAAAGGGCAGGTTCTGGAAGGGAGGAGACTGCCTGGAATTAAAAAGCACTTACAGCAAAATCTCAACAAGACTTCCAAAAGATACATTTTAACTGAAATATCGCAACAAAAACCCCAGGAAGAGAAAGTGGAAAAAGAAATAAGAAGAAATAACTTGGGACTATTTGGATTTCTTGATGATTTCTGGATTTTTGGTTATTTTATTTGAATGACTAAAATCAAGTGGGTGGTTGTTTAAAACTGTTTAAAATGGCTCCACTTTTAGAAGAACTGAAAATGGAACTTAAAAAGTACAAAGAAGATGCACAAGAAGGGAGAGGTTCTTTTGGCTTCATATTTCAGTTTTTAGAAATGGAGATTTGGAATTATGAGAAACAACAAGAAATGCCTGCAGAACAAGAAGATTGCGACAAAAAAGAAGCCATCTTTAATGAACAAGTAATCTTAGGTGGAGGAAAAAAGGAAAGGGGGGAAAGAGAATGGAAAGTTTAAGATTAGGAAAAACAACTCCCACCCCCCCCACCCCCAAATAGAGTGAAAAATAAGTATAAAATCAGAAAGCAACAGAAGAGGGAAATGCAGAAGAGAGAATTAGAAGTAGAGAGACAAGGGGGTAAAAAGGGGAGGGAGAAGATGAGTGGGAAGAAAGAAAGGAAAAGAAGTTATAAAGGACAAAAACAAAATATAGAGAAACAGGGCCTATTTAGAGATAATGGGTGAAAAATTAATGGAAAAGGGGATTCTGCAAAGGTACATAAGATAGTATTGTTATATTAGAAACAGAAATAATTTTAGAAAATATGAAAATGTATGATTAAAATGTTTGATAAAATAGCTATTGTAATTCAATGGAATGTTTGTCAATAAATACATGTAACAAAATGAATATTTACTGATTTACAAAACATATGTGAAGAGAAATAAGGGAAAAATTAATTATGGAGATTATATGTGTTTTTAAGGAAGTATGATATTTAATTGAAAAGAAGTGTTAAGGATGTTAAGATTTTAATGATTATTAATGATAGAACTGAATTGGAATGGAATGAGGGTTTATAATTACATATATGTACAATCTTTCTTTCTTTTTTTTAAAGAATATAGTGTGTATTATAAGAATGTACCAAGCAGAATTCGATTGGAAGTTATGTATTATGTATTATATTGAAAGTCATAACCTTAGGGTATATATTGAAGTTTAATTAAAAGATATAAAGGTGTCATACTCCAATTAGTAACTACAGGAGAAAATTTGTTTAATGAGAAAAGATAATATGAAATTGAAACAGAACAGACAAAAGTATAAATATAATGATTTGAATTGAGATGAGATAATCAAAATAAAATTGAGAAAATTAAAAGAGGGGAAAAACTATATAGAAAATGTAGAATAGTATAAGATATGGAATAGAACACAAAAAGGAACATGAAATTGAGTTTTGTGTCTGTATAAAGAAGTTCAACCCGGGACCATGCTATTTTCAAAAAAGATGTTTTACTTGTATTTTGTATGTGTGAAAACCCAAATAAAACTTGATTGAAAAAAAAATTCCTTATTTAAAAACCTGTAAATAAATTCACAAACCAGTGTCCAGGATTCAAAAAGCAAATCTTTTTCTGAGCCAAATGCTTTTGACTTTATGCAACTACTTTGTGGCATACAAGGATTCAGTACATTCTTATTTTGAATAGTATTTTTCTTTTTTAAAAAAATTATTAAACACAGTAATAAAAACTATCTGTTTAATAGCCAAATAGTTTGCTATTCAGAAAATGTGGCTTTTAATTTTAAAAGCTGAATATCAATTAGCAATAGAGTGCATATGGTAAACAAGGTATATTGTGCATCTATTTGGATGCTCAGCTAAACAGAAGCTTCAACAAAGGAGGTATGAATGTTGTCCCTAGCCTTTTCTTCCCATTTAACCAGAATTCTGAAGAGCATTTGCATTTACTGTGCAGTCTGCAAGGAACTCTTCTGCATTAGGGTTTAGTTTGTAAATTCAGCATTTCTCCAGTCTACTGGTAAATGCCTAGATTAGGGTTTCTCAATCTCAAAACCTCTGTGTTTCTTTTGGGGGAAAGAAGATGAAGTCAACACTTCTTAAAATTGGTACATTAAGAAACACTGTCATAAAGATTAGGACAAAGTAGGTAAGAGTTGTCTTATTGGCGAAAAGCATAACATATAAATTTAATTTTAAAAAAAACAAAAAACAAAAAATACCCAGGCAATAAAGAATGGAGTAGAGTAGAATAATTTATTGATTTAGTCATTTGAACATATCAAAAAAATAAAAATAATATAAAGATACAAGTATAAAGATACAAGGAAAACAATAAGACATATTCATATTAAGTCATCATCCCTATAATTAATTTCAGTCTGATCTAAATATTCTTTCTTTTTGAAATGACCTTTGATATAAAGAGTACAGTTTTATTAGTAATATGCAGGCTACTTCCCTGCAAAAAGTATGACATTTTCTCCCAGGTGCCCTAGTATTTTTTAAATTTTTAAATAAGACTCTAAATAAGTTGCCCTTTCTGCAGAGTATAGTCTGCAGTCAAGAGGAATGTCTCCAATGTCTCCAACAGCTGGTGCTCCACAGTGTCTTTCTTCAAATCAAACTCCATGAAATCTCCCATATTTTATCACTGCATCTAATGGTTTAAAACAAACTCTAGGAAAAGCTCTTCTGAGATGTTGAGGTATGTAAGTTGACACGGATTTGTGTTGAGAAAAAGTAAGATAAAACACAATAATTAATAAGAATTGTACAGAACTTACCATTCTCAGTTTGCAGCTTCCCTTTCTGCGCAGTGAGATCATTTATCACCCGGGTCATTTCATCTACTTTAGTCTTGGCCTCACTGAGATGATCTTCAAAAGTCCGGCAGAGTTTCTCTGCATTTGCCTAAAGCGATGGAACAAACTTACTGTAAGCAGGAACGGAATTTATTTGTTGTTTTAATGTTTTCTAGTGCATTTTAATGGAATGTCTGTCAGCTGCCTAGAGTTGCTTCTGACGAGTTGGGAGGCATACAACTTTAATAACAAATAAATGAAAAACAGTGAAAAACTATAATCCAGTCACCCCTGACCCTTTAGACCTTGGATATTGTTAAATTTGGCTGGAAGAAATTAGAATAGCATACCAATAAATAGTTAACTTGGGCGGGGGGGGGGGGGGGAAATCTGACTGGATTTTTTTTAAAAAAATTTTTATTATATAACACAAATCAGCTGATTCTTAGTCAAAACCTACAAATTTAAAATGCTATAATCTTTTAATGATATAATTTCAAGACTTTTACACATTCATCTCCAAAGATAACATTTTGTTTTTTTCTCAGAATATAATAAGACATTTCTTTACCTATGTATCAATCAAATTATTGCTTCTCATAAGTAATACTTTAGTTGAATCATATCACCAAAAACAAACATATAGAGATATATTATGACATATGAAATGAAGTTACTTAATTAATAATAATTTGGAATTATTTGACTGAATTCACGAGATGAAATATGTTACTTAGACAATAGTATGCTTCTGTGAGCTTTAGACATTCTTTTAGAAACTCTTATCAGTAGTTGGGAGAAAAAAAATATCCCTAGGGAATATTTTACAATTCTTCCACACATCATTTATTATTAAAGAAAAGTAAAATGGAAGTTTTTCTGAAGAGAATGATGTGCTCTTACAATAAACTGTCACCCACTTCTGCCAAAGTCCATAAAAGATGCTAGCTTAAAATTTCTGCAAATGAATTCAGAAAATGTCAAAGCAGTCTGTGGTCACTATTTTTAATATTCATTTAGTAACCAACAGTTTAGTGACTAATTTAGTGACAAATTACAATGGAGGTCTATAAAAAAGGAAAACTGAAGTAAGATCAGAAATTAGAGTTTTGGATAGTAAAAAAAGGTAATACATTTTCTCTCACTTTGTGTGTGTTTGTGCATACACCCACTTATATATACATATATACATACATAGCACATACATAGGCTGGATAGCATGGTGATTAGGGTGCGAGCATTGACAGAAGAGACAAGTTTGAAATCCTGGTTGCTACTTATCTTAACTTACCAGTAGGAGTCCTTGGGCAATAGCCCACTGCCTATCTCAAATACGGGAGTCTAAGAGACTCATGCTGGTTCAGATGACACTTGAACTAACAAGATCTGTATCAGATGTAGGGGAGCAAGGGCAACCTGACAATAAATGAGCTCTTGGAACCAATCATACATGGATGGGACAAAAGATTTTGGAATTGATGAAATGCTACTATAATAGCAGATCTAATGAGAATGGATATATAAAATGATGAGGGAACTATGGATGGACAGAAAACCATAGTCACACTAACTAGAAACATCTAGTTTCCAGCTCTTCAACATAGTAAAGAGGAAACTGTTCTTACAACTTAAGATAGACCAACTATCTATATCTCTAAATCTACTGCATCTATATCTCTATAGATCCCCATTCAAACTTTCATATTAAATTGCTTTTACCTTTCCCTTGACCAGCTGCTCCATGTTAGATGATAGGTCATCGGCCTCTAACTTCAGCTCACTTTTCTCTTTCTCCAGTTTTTGTTTGACCCTCTGCAAATTGTCAACTTGCTCCGCGAGCTCAGCTATGCTGTCCGCATGCTTCTTCCTTAGTGTAGCTGCAGTAGCTTCGTAGTGCAAAGTGGCTTCTTCAAGATCCCGTCGAAGTTTGAGAAACTCTGCCTCACGTTTCTTGTTCATTTCCAGCTGTGCTGAAGTAACACCTCCAGCTTCCTCTAGTCGCTCACTTAGTTCTTCTAGTTCTCGGGCCAGATCTGATCGCTGCTTCTCCACTTTTGCTCGGGCAGCTCTTTCTGCTTCCAGTTCTTCCTCCAACTCCTCTATTCGGGCCTATCAGACAGATTAAAAACACTTATGTATTCCACTTATATATGCTACAAACTGTATATATAACCTGAATGTATACCTAACTCTGAACCTTCTCTCTTTACCTAGTTGAATATGAATCTGAGTTTCAGATCTTTCAAAATTCTATACCAACTTAGTGGGCAGAAAATTGTCTTGAAAGGAAAGAGAAATCCTTCAGCAATTAAGGGCAAGACTTCCTCTTAGCCATGGTAGTACACTACTAATCAAAAAGCCCCAGAGGGTGACTCCTTCATAATGGACTTCTTGGGATTTATTGATATATGTAATATTGGGAGTTGCTGATTACTGACTGCACAGTAAAATGGCAAGATACATAGAGCTCTTTTGACCACCTCTCTGTTCAATAAGTTCAGGTATCATCCATGAAATTTCCTCTGAATTTATTTTCTCTTTTATCCTAATTTGTAAAACACAAAATCAATTATCAGACTGAAACAGAACTGAAAGAAAAATGCAGGACAATATTCTGCATTAGTTAGAATATTAATTGTAGAGCAAAAAAACACCATAGCATAATGAGGCCTAGTATCTAATTTCTATCATCCCCAGGCAGCAATATTACTGGGATGACAAGAGTTGCAGTTTAACCTATAATTGGAGGAAAAGCCATAGAGGTATTTAAATAAGGGTAAGTGTCTGATATGTATTCTGAGTACAAGGTGAATTTACTATGATTCCACCTTCTGGAAAGGTAGTTTTGTATCATTTCCCCAAGACATCAGGCTGCAGTTGTATTTGAAATTATATGGAATAACTATTGAACTTTGCCAGGTTTATTCTAACTATGCATAAAATTACTCTAAGGGTAACTTGAGATGCAAAAATCCCAGTGTATGAAAGTAAACTTTGATGGAGGTGATAAATACATATTTTTAAATCTAGAGTGTCTTATGCCCCTTTAAAATTCAAAGAAGTATAAATTACAAGGTAAAGAGAAGCTCTTTTTGTAGTTCTTATCCATGTTTTGACTCTGAACTAGAACTGTCAAAACAGTTTAATTGCATATTCCACTTCTGGGCAATGAGCAAGTTGCAGCATTATTAATGGCACTTCCCATAACCTCCCCTCCAAAGGGAAATGAAAACTAACTTTGGCAGCTGTTAAACCAAGATGATCATGGAGCCTCCCTAGATCAATAGCTAAGGGGAGTATTTTTATTCCTGGAAGGGCTTTGCTCCTGTACAAATTCAGTGTTTATGTCACGTATCAACATAGTTCATGTTGTCTTCCTCCATGATACAATCTTATTCTGTAACTCACCAGCCGCTATATACTTATAATCAAGGGTATTCAGAGAGGTGTTTTTGTTTTTGCTGAGTATATCTTTTCTCCCTCTCCAATTCACTTTCTCTCATATATCTTTCTTTCCAAGGGTCTCACCTACTCTTTTATGACTGCAATCCAGCAACTAAGTCCTGCCTATTAGTTGGAACCCCTGCAGTTTAGGAAGGAGATTTCAAACCTGCTTTTCTCAAGGGATCCATAGTTTTTTTCCCCTGAAAAGTGCAAAATAAAACTCAATTAAGTTTTCTGTGTGTTGGAGAGGGTGTATATAGGTATACGCAGGGGTGAGATTCATTTTTTT